GGGTGAGGGGTGGGGTGGGGAGGGAACATAACCCCTTCTGTGCCTTGGGATGCCAGAGCTGGGCGGACCTGGAGGTCCATCGCCAGAGCCATGTTAAAGGTACTTAGGAAAGACTAGACCAGGGCATGGGGAACCACTTGGCATTGAAATAGTTTAGGGTTGTTTCTGGAATCCTGTTTTCCCCCATAATGTTGATTGAATATCATATGCACTCAGAATTAAATATATATTTAATTTAATTATCATTATATATGTGGGGGTTAATATGTTTGTTTTTCTCTTAGCTTTAAAGTCTTTACATGTAATTGTAGCTGTATAATCAATATTTTATTTTGCACCTTAAGTCTTAGAAATTAAGATGTTCCATTTAAAACGAAGATGGGGGTCCTCTGGGTGTTTTTCTAGTCCGGGTAGGGCAGGACACAAGTCCTGGGATAGCCTTTGCTGGCCCACTCAAGTGCAGTCATAGAGTTCGAATGGATTAATTTGCTTTTGGTTGTAATTTAATTGTACATATGGTTGATTTCTTATTTTTAAAAATACAGACTAACCGATACCATGTTTATGTATAAGTTGCACCAAAAATCAAGGACAGACATAAATGTGAGTTTGTTTTTACTGATGTGAAGGTCACAGCTTGTAAATAAGTGTTGTATGTATTAAACCTTTTCCAGCTTTCCAAAGCAATGTATTTTTGTACATACGAGATAGAGTACTCTGAATTCACTGGGAAAGTGTGCTTGGAATTGAACTCGGCAAGATTAGTGCAAGTGGGTATGATCGGCCCAGCAGGCAGAGGGTGGGACCTCGCGTGAGTAACCTCAGATGTGCAAGCTGCAGAGAGGAGCGTCTGCCGCTGCCGGGGTCCTGCAGGGTACTGTGCTCCCGGAGGCTGCGGGTGGCGGGCAGAGGCACGCATCAGACAGCGCGGAGCAGTCGTTTCCAGTATTCTCCATGTCGTCTTTGACTCATTCGATAAATAAAGGTGGTGTGATTCTTCCTCACATGTCTTTTTCATTTGTAGAAATTGGAGAAACATGTAAAGAAGATTCAATGTGTAATTAAACTTTTCAGAAATTTATCTTCCTTATGTGCAGTTTAAAACTAATAAACTTGGTCAAACTAGTTAGCAAATTAGAACTTCTGAATCTAACCATAGTTTAGGGTTTCTAAAATAAGGTTTTTTATTATAAAAATTGATTGGTTGCCCTACAGATCTGCCGAGTCCTGTGAATGAAGGATCTTTTAGAGTTGAGCTGTCAGAAAAGCCTCTACGCCATGTTGTCAGCCTTGGAGCCAAGAGAACATATCCCTCCTCAGTGTGCAATGTACACCTCTCACCTTCCGGATCAGGGAAGGTGGTGATTAAATGTTTATTACTCTTTGATTTTCTTGTATCTGGAGTCTACACCCAGGAGGAAATTTTCCAATTACATACATATTTAGAGGAAGAATAAGAAGGGGAAATACAAAATGTTTATGATGGTTTCTTATTGTCTGGAAATTGAATTCAAATTTATCAGTTTTTTTCCCCTAATTAACACAAAATATCTTTTGCAAACTAAGTTACATGAGTGCTTCTGCCTTTTTTTAAAGACAAAATGTCACCCCAAACTTTGTCATTTTTTTCTTAATATTCATAAGATTAACTAAAAGGCTGTAATTGGATTTTTATTGTTTAATAATTGTTTTAAATAAAGTAAGGTTTATGTTTTAGACAAGTTGGTTTTGTTGATAAAGATGTGGCAGCTGTTAAAATAATTGTGAAGCCAGATATGCAATGTGTATGTATCTAGAAAGCGAAGACTTATGTATCTGTGGAACATGTAAATATGAATACTAGCAAACGGGAAAGTAAGTTATAATTTTTGTGAATTTCATGGGGTCTCCTGTGATTGGAAAAATTATAACTGTTCTGATTCTAATGTGGAAATTGTATTTAATCTAAAAACGACTTTTACCTACAGTTCCATTGTCAGCACAGCCTAGGGTGGGTCAGAGTCCTGTATTAATAAGTCTTGGTGAGGAGAGATATCCCATACAGTTAGTAAAGAAAACACACACAAGGCTTCTATTCAGTTTTTCTTTAATGTTTAAAGATGAAGTTAAACACTCCATGTTTGTAAATAAAATGAAGTTAACACCACTTTTTATAAAAGAACTGGGCTGATCTAATGTTTTACTTCCAACTGTGATCTTCAGAATAAATCCTACAGGATTTTGAAGTTGTATTCTTCATGACAGTGCCCCTTTCTCTGAGTTATTCATCCCCATCAGGCTGTGAGACCCACAGACATCACTGATAGGTTTTGTTGGGATTCTGTAATTGGAAAAGGTGACAAGTTGGTGACTTTGACACTGCAGGTATTAATTCCATTTTCATGGTTTACTATGAAAAGTCTTTTCACATTCTGTAATATATTGTTAGACTAAAACCATTGTATTAAGACTTTAAAATGTAAGCATTATTATGCTGAAAATACACATTTTAAGAAGACAGTACTGTTTTGGGCTTATTCGTTTGCTATGGCATGGTGTGACGAGTATGTAATGTTAAGATTTTCTTGTTTTCTCCCCATAATCCTTGTTCCTGACTCTGAGGCATGGATTATTTACCTTTTGGGGAGCATTACAGATTTTTTTCATAATTTCTTACCCAGTAGCTCACAAGAACTAAGACATTTGCGTTTCCAGGGCTTTCGGGTTTTTGTGGACGTTCTAACTGCCTCTGAGCATTGGACAGCGGCCTGGGCAGTGACTGGCCAGGGGTTTCGGGAATCTCTGGTTTCCCGGCTTCATTCAGACCTTTGCTCTTTCTGGTTTCCTTTTCGTTATCTTCGAGAGCTGTTAAGTAAGTAGGTCTGGAGGGAGACCGTCGACCGCCTGGACCCCAAACCACTCCGCGCAGGCCTGGCGCACGTGTGCGGCCCGGGACTGGGGCGGGCGGGGCTGGGGGCGGGCCCTCGTGCTCAGGCTGCGCCTCGGGGCGTGGCTGGGGTGGAGGCGGGCCCTTGGAGAGGGCGGTGCCGCTCCTTCGGGCCGCCCGGGGCGCTGTGGGCGCCAGGCGCAGTCTTGCCCGGAAAGTGTGCCGTTTAGGTGCCGCTGTTCGGCCCGCCCCGGAAGTGCGCGCTGCAGGCGCCGGTGCGCGGCCAGCCCCGGAAGTGCTTTTGCCTGCGACTCACATGCGGTGGCCGCGATGAAGTTCTCGTACCGGGTGAGCGCGGCAGGGAGGTGCGGTCGGCGCGGGCTCCTCGTCCGGCGGCCGAGCCCTTGCGGGCCGGAGCGGACTCGCCGGGCGAGCTGGGGTCGCCGTGCTCGTCTCCCTCGGGACTCAGTCGCGTGGGGGGCGCCGAGGGCTCCTCGCGGGCCGAGACACTCGGCGGGGGCCGGGGAGAGGCTTTCCCGGGAGGGAGGCCCAGCCTGCGGGGAGCGGTCGCATGGCCGGGCGGGCCGCGGCGTCTGCGCAAGGATCAGGGGCGGCGCCGGCAAGGCGACCCTCGTGGGGAAGTGATGAGGGTGTGAGAGCCGCGGGACTGTGGTCACAGATGCGAAGTGAGGAGGGCACAGGCGAGACTAACGCGGTGGAAGGGGCAGAGCCGTCCTAGGCATTTCAGGAGCGTCGGTGGCTTGGCCTGGAAAGGCCGCTGCTTTGCGCAGTGCCGCGGACCGGCTTGTCCCATCGTTCTTGCAGGCTGTTCTTCCCTCCGTGGGGTGTCGGCCCTGCCGCGGGGCCCAGCTGGGTCTTACACCCATCCTGGCCAAAGCTGAACGTGGTACTGGCCCAGAAAGTGCCCCTCCCCTGCGTCCCCCATGCAAGTGAAGGCACTGCCGTGCGCCCAGCACCAAACTAGAACCCACATCCAGCTCCTCTGGGCTTGGACCTCATCCGCTCTGCAGTCACTAGTGCGATCTGCAGAAAATGCGCTTGAGTCACATCAGGCCTCTGCTTACGACCCTTGTCCAGCTTAGCCAGGCTCCTCCCCGAGGTTCTCGCGGTGCTGCCCACCTGCGTCTCCAGATCCTGGCCTGGCTGGCACCTTCTCATTTAGTTTCTAACTCAGGTGACCCCTCCAAGCTGCCTTCCATGACCACCCTCTGAAGTAGCGCTCCCTCCCAAGCTTCTCATCCTCTCCTGTTAGAACATGAAGTGCTTGTGTCTCGGCGCTTGGCAGTGTCTCCCGTGGGCACTTTGGATGATGAGTTTGATGAGTGAGTGAATAAATACGCAGGATGCCAGAATACAGCGCAGTTCAGGATGCCTTGAACCCTAGATGCCCTTGGAGCGCAGTTCCATTGTGGCTTTTCTCTTCTTGAAACGTGGGTCCCGCCCCCTTCTTCACCTGGCGAAGGCCTCCTGTCTCTGGAGGCTTCCCCAGTGCTCACAGGTGCCTCTGACCTTGGGAGCTTGGGGCTCCCCAGGCTCCTCGGGTGTCCTGAGGATTGGGCTCATTTCTTCCTCTCTGGCCCAGGAAATGTCCCAGAGGATGGCTGGAGGGGCCCCCGGGATGAACTGGGACCCCAAGGTGGGGGCTCTCTGCCCAGATGCCTCACTTTACCCTTTTCTGGGAGTCGAGACTCTGTTTTCTTTAAGGCAGCTTTGTTCTCTCCTCAGTTTTCCAATTTGCTGGGTACGGTTTATCGGCGTGGAAATTTAAATTTTACACACGATGGAAATTCAGTTATCAGTCCTGTCGGCAACAGACTCACGGTATTCGACCTAAAAAAGTAAGTATGTTAAAGTGATATTGATATTAATAGTAGTGATAATTGTCATTACTATTCTTGAATAGCACGTGAAAGCTGACGGTGTCTTCCTCACCTTTTTATGGTGCACCTGTTCATTAGGGCAGCTTGAGCGCGCTACGGGGCTTACTGGGGTCCAGCAGGTCAGAGCGGAAGTGGCAGCGAGGCTCCCGGGGCTTCATTCTAGTGCCTCAGCAGTGCCCGAGCATCTAGCTGGTTGGTGTCATTCCTAACGGTAGAAATCATGTGACACTTGGCTGTTACTTGGAAAGGGACCGACTTCTGTGTGGAGATGGGGTGGTGCGGAGAAGCCATGGCCCAGGGTTGGCGCTTCCCCCACCAGGGAAGGCCCCTGAGGGCCGAGAGGCCAGGTGTGCTGGAAGCTGCCCTGGACACCTGCTTGGGAGCCCCAGTGCCACCGGTCCTCACCAGTAGGCCCTGCAGGCCCAAAGCTTCCGCTTCTGTGGCTGGAAATCATAAGGGCAAGGACTCCTTCGCAGACTTGTTGGGGAGGCTGTGGGCTGGCCCCTTCTGCAGCTTGGTGAGGGCCACGTGTTGCAAAGGCTGCCTGCCCTCCGCCTTGCTCCGTAGCTGTCCATCTGGGTGGCCCTGGGCCTCGGTTTCCCTGTCTGTAAGACAGGACGGCAGTAGGACCTGCTCTGCGGGTTCCTTCCAAGCAGTGCCCTGCAGGGTGCGTGTGAGGTCAGCTACTCGTGGTGTCACTGTTACCATTTTGTTTAGGTGACATTTAACAGGGCTCTCTGTAGGAACAACCACATGTCCATTGAAGAAAATTTGGAAAGTGATGACAAAATTAGGACCTAGTTCTTGCCGTTCAGGGGTTTTATTACACCTCGCTTTACTGCGTTTAACAGGTAGCATGTTTTACATAGCGAAGGGCTGTGGCAAATCCCGCCTCAAGCAAGTCTGTCCGTTCTCCAGCAGCACGTGCTTAACTTTGTTTCTGTCCCGTTTTGGTGATTCTTACAGTATTTTGGACTTTTTCGTCAGTACTGCATATGTCATGGTGATCTCTGATCGCTGAACTTTGATGTTACTATCGTAATTGTTCTGAGGCACCACAAACCACGCTCATATAAGATGATGAACTTGATCTTGTGTGATCTGACTGTTCCACAAACTGGCCGTCCCCCCATCTCTCCCTCTCCTGGGCCTCCTCACTGCCCCAGACACAACTATATTGAAATTAGACCAATTTACAACCCCATAATGGGCTCTAAGTATTCAACGAAAGGAAGAGTTGCACACCTCTCAGTTTAAATCAGAAGCTAGAAACAGTTAAGCTTAGTGAGGAAGGTGTGTCCAAAGCTGAGACAGGCTGAAAGCTAGGCCTCTGGTGCCAATCAGCCAAATTGTGACAGCAAAGGAAAAGTTCTTGAAGGAAATTAAAAGTGCTCCAGTGAAACATGAATGATAAGAAGGTTATTATGGAAAAAGTTTTCCTGGACTGGACAGAAGATCAAACCAGCTACAACATTTCCTTAAGCCAAAGCCTAACCCGGAGCCAGGCCCTGACTCTCTTTAGTTCTGCGAAGACTGAGGGAGGTGAGGAAGCTGCGGAAGAAAAGTCTGAAGATGGCAAGAGCAGCAGTTGGTTCCTTATGGGTTTTTTTTGATAGAGACAGGGTCTCGCTCTGTCGCCCAGGCTGGAGTGCAGTGGTGTCATCACAGCTCACAGCAACCTGAAACTCCTGGGCTCAAGTGATCCTCCTGCCTCGGCCTCCTAAAGTGCTGGGGCTACAGGCATGTGCCACCGTGCCCGGCCTCCATTTGTCTGTGGATGCGCTGTCATTGTGGTTAGTCCCTGTTGGACATTTAGCTTGTTTCTGGTTTTCTGACATTCTCGGGATAAAGTCCTAGAAGCAGAATTGATACATCCAAAGCCCGTTTTTAAGGCTTTTAATTTTAATGTGTTTTGCCACATTTCCCTCAGGGACGATGTCGTCTCCTCTTTGGGGGAGTGTCGAGAGAAGCGCTCTGGCGCGAGGGTCCTGTGGGCCTGAGGTGCTGTGTGGGAAGGGTGGGCTGCTGGTCCCAGCCGACCGTGTGCTGCGGTTTGTGTCTTTCTCAGCAACAAGTCGGACACGCTGCCCCTGGCCACTCGGTACAACGTCAGATGTGTGGGGCTGTCCCCGGACGGCCGCCTCGCCATCGTCGTCGATGAAGGTGCTCGCCCTTGGTGTGGCTGGGACTGGGGATGGGTGGAGGATGGACTGGGGGCCCCAGGGTGGCAGTGTAGGGCTGCCGTGGTCCACTCCCCATCCGCTCCGGTCTCAAGCCCTGGTGGGGCTTGGGGATGAGGGCGTGCCATGGGTGAGGTCGCGTCCTCCCTGCACTTTGTGCCGCTGGCGTCGCCTGGGCAGGGCCTCGGCAGGCGTCCCAGCGTGCGGGTGAGGCGAGCCTGCAGCGTCTGGGTGCTCCCGGGGCTGCAGGGCCGTCACCTGCGGCCTCCCGCAGGGGGCAGCGCGCTGCTGGTCAGCCTGGCGCACAGGGCCGTGCTGCACCACTTCCACTTCAAGGGCTCCGTGCACAGCGTCTCCTTCTCCCCCGACGGCAGGTACGTGGGCGCTGGCCCGGGCGGGGCGGGGGCTGCCGTGTGGCTCGTCTCGAGGCTGACGGCCCACCGTCCCTCTGGGACTCGGGGGTTACGGCGGGCGCGGGGGCAGCTCTCTTCCCGGAGCAGAAGGCCGGTGTGGCCCGAGTGCCCTCGGCGTCTGTTTCTCCCCGACTTCTCCTGCTCCCTCTGTCCTCGGCCCCGTCCAGCAGGGGCGGTGGGACTCGGGGCAGCCCAGGCAGCCCCGGGCTGAGCTGGCATCTCCAGGCTCTGCGGTGGCTCAGGGCCCTTCTGGTCTTGAGTGCCGACTCTGGCCCCGTTTCTGCGGTAGGAGATTTGTGGTCACGAAGGGCAACATTGCTCAGATGTACCACGCCCCGGGGAAGAAGCGCGAGTTCAACGCGTTTGTTCTGGACAAAACCTACTTCGGGCCGTATGACGAGACCACGTGCATCGACTGGACCGACGACTCCAGGTGGGGCCTGGGCGCTGCCGGAGCGGGGCCTGAGAGGGCTCCTTTCACCTGTCCCTCCCAAGAGAACGAACGGGTCCCTTGTTTGGGTCTTGAAGCTTCATTTTGAAACGTCACCTTGGCCTCGTTTGGGTGCAGCCCGTTTTGGGACTGGGCGGCTGGTTCGGGTTAGGTCCACACTGCCCTGACATTTGTCACTGGGAGCCAGAGAACACAGCCTGGATCTGGATGGAAGATGAGAATTATGTTTGAGCTTTTATCAGCAAACAGCAAGACCGGTGTGGTAGACCAGGAGAGGCGAGAGCCTGTGAGGCCTTTGTCCCCAACGAGAGCACTGCCCACAGGCGGCCCCGACCCCTCAGGCACCCGCCATGTGCACCACATACAGGGAGGTGGGCCGGCAGTGGCGTGGTTTCTGCTGGTGGGACAGGCCTTGCTCTCACACCGGGTCCTGCGCACTGCTGGGCCTGGGCCACAGCCTGGGGTGGGTGCCGCCCCGCGTGCTGTGCGGCCTGTCAGCATCCCGAGGGCCACGTCTGGGTGGGCACACCGTGTGACCCAGCTGTCACACCTGTTTGACTCGGCGCCATGAACAGAATTTGCCGTGCTGGGGTTTCAGGCTCGTCTAGGAGGCACGAGGACAGCGTGCTGGGGGCAGGCCATGCTGGAATGTGGTCCCTCTGTTACGTGACTTCGCAGCGCTCAGCCCTCGGGCCCACACGGGGGTGAAAGGATCTCTGTGCGCCTCGCTCTGGAGGGCGGGCGCGGCCGCAGCGCTTGGAGGAGCCCTGAGCAGGTGCTGTCTTCGCAGGTGCTTTGTGGTTGGGAGCAAAGACATGTCCACCTGGGTGTTTGGAGCCGAGCGCTGGGACAACCTCATCTACTACGCGCTGGGGGGACACAAGGACGCTATCGTGGCCTGCTTCTTTGAATCCAATAGCCTGGATGTACGTCCCTGTGCCCGAGATCCCCAGCCCACTGTCCCACACAAAGCGGGGAGTCTAGGGAGGCCCGGGCCTGGGGGCGGGCTGGGGCCACCTCTTCCTGCATGTCCTCGTGCTGCTCCCAGCTTGCCTGGGGGTGTCCAGGGACTCAGGGTGGCTGCTGCCCATTAGAGTCACTTCTCCCCAGTCCAGAGGGGCCTCCCGTGGAACGGGCGCCTGGAAGCCCAGCTGCAGAGAGGGCTCTGGGTGGCGGCAGCCCGTGGCCGGCTGGGGGCCGGGGGTGACCCGTGTGCCTCCCGTTGCAGCTGTACTCGCTCAGCCAGGACGGAGCCCTGTGTGTGTGGCAGTGCGACACGCCCCCCGAGGGCCTGAGGCTGAAAGCTCCCTCGGGCTGGAAGGCGGACCTGCTGCGGCGGGAGGAGGAGGAGGAGGAGGAGGAGGAGGAGGATGGGGACAGAGAGACCACCGTCCGGGGGAGAGCCACCCCGGCCGAGGAGGAGAAGAAAGGGAAAGTGAAGTACTCGCGGTTGGCCAAGTAGGTCTCCTTTGGGAGGGCGTGCTGCTCCTGTGTGGGGCTTTTGCCCTCAGAGGGTCCTGGTCAGGGTCCCCGGGGGCGAGGACAGGAGGTACAGAGAACAGGCCCGGGTCTGAGAACCCCTGGGTGTGACACCAGCCCACGCCCCGGAGGACCCCTGCAGGGGCCTCGCTGTCCAGTTGTCTGCCCAGCAGCATGGGAGGGGGAGGCGTCCAGGTACTTGGCGAGGATGGGGTCGCCCGGCAGGGGACATCTGTGGCCCCGCCAGCTCCTGGGCGTTTGGCGTGCGTGAGTCCCTCGGCCTCGTGGAGGACGCACGGTGGGCACTAGCGCGCTCAGCGAGAGCCGTGGGCCGAGGTGGTGGAGGGAGACGCTGAGAGAGGAACATTCAGGGAGAGCGGAGGAGGAGGGCTGGGGTGAGGGCAGAGAGGGTAGGCTCTGTGCGTCTTGCTGACGGGGGCTCCGGGTCTCCTTAGGGGACCCCCTGGCCGACGGCGCTGTGCTTCGTCAGGTGCTGTGCTGGAGGTGCAGCCCCATGCCCTGGGCGGGCGGCCTCGACCCCACACACCAGGCCCTGTTGAGCCCCGGCCCCCAGCCTGACCTAGGCCCTTTCTAGCTGTAGCTGTCACCCTGGCTCACAAGCCGTCCCCAAGTTGGGGCACAGGGCATCTGCTCCTGTTCTAGGGCCTGTGGGGAGCTGGTCATGGTCACGTGAAGGCAGAGGTGACACAGCCGTGGGGCGGCCGTGGCGCCCCCCGTAGCCTGTCCTGTTGTGTGGGTGTCTCGCCTGGACGCCTCCGCTCTGCATTCGCCTGGTGCACGTCGTGTGCTGGGTTCTGTCCTTGGCGCTGAGAACACACCCTCCTCCCTCGCAGGCTTCCTCGGCTGGGTGGGCGAGGCGTGGGGAGATGGAGCGGGTCTGCTCCCGGAGGGACCCAGGCCCTGGACGAGGGCTGGACGTAGGGAGGGAGCCCAGGCAGGCGGAGCGGGCTGGATTTGGGGTGTGCTGGGGCAGCAGGCACATGGGAGTCAGGCTTGGGTCGGTCTGAGGAGCAGGAAGGGTCGGCCTGGCCCCAGCGGGAGGAGGGTGCCCTCCACACTCAGTAGTGCCTGGCCAGAGGCAGGGACTGAAGGGGACTGGGGGGCAGCAGGCGAGGTTCCAGGAAGAGGGAGTGCTTGCTGGCAGGGCTACCGGCGGTCAGCGGGAAGGGAGGGCCCTCGTCTGTCATCTGCCACTTGCTCAAGAGGACAGGGACGTGAGGCAGAAGGAAGGGCCAGGGCAGAGCTTGCTCAGGAGGAGGCTGGGGGAGGGGCGATCTGTCGGGTTTTAGAGGTGGAGGTGCTGTCAGGGTCACCACCCCTTGCTCATGGGGACCCAGGGCCTGTTGGAGGTGGAGGATCAGGGAGCCATGGGATCCGCGGGGCCGCTGTCACAGCTGAGGCTGCCCTGCCCCCGAGGGCCCTGCTCCCTCCGGACGCTCCGACAGCCTCTGGCCGGGGGTCAGCGGCGAGGGTGGAGCCCCTCTAAGGAGTCCCCTTGGGGGTCTGAGCCAAGGGCGTTAGGCAGGTGCCCTACGGGGTGCCCGGGTCCAGACCGAGGCGAGTGCAGGAGGGGCCGGCCCGGCTCTGCTCCTTCCAAGTCTCGGTCTTGCCCTGGTGCAGGTACTTCTTTAACAAGGAAGGGGATTTTAACAGCCTTACGGCTGCGGCGTATCACAAGAAGATTCGGCTGTTGGTCACCGGCTTTGCTTCTGGAATCTTCCATCTTCACGAGCTCCCAGAGTTCAACCTCATCCACTCCCTGAGGTGAGCCTCTGCAGAGGAGGGTGCTTGTCACTCGCCCGCCCCAGGTCCCTCGGCCCAGGAGCAGGCGGGTGGAGGGCCGGGCTGCGCCTGCCCTCGAGGGGCCACGGCGGAGCCAGGCCAGCAGGACACCGGCTCTGGGCGGTGCTGCTGCCCTCGTGGGTGTCACCTTGAATCTGGGGCTCAGGTGGATCAGGTCCTTTTGATTGTTGTCATTCTTACTTTTTCTTCCATTCTTCGTCTTTGGGATACGGAGAATCAAAACACTGGCTTCATAAAATCTTGAAGCTTCCAGTTTTTGAGCACAGGACTCGCGGGGGCTACCTGAGGGCTGGGGGTGTCCCTGGCGGCCTGGCAGGGTACCTGGCTCCCTGCTCACGGTCTGGCCTCACCATGCAGCATCTCGGATCAGAGCATCTCCTCAGTTGCCGTCAACAGCTCCGGGGATTGGATCGCCTTTGGCTGCTCAGGTTTGTGGTTGTGCCTGGGTTGGAGACGGAATCCTCGAGAAAGCCTGCGTGAGGTCGCGGCTTGGGGCGATGACCCCTGCCGGCCCACTGGTGTCGAGCCTGGAGACGATGCTCTCCGGCCAGAGATAGGAGCCAGGCTGGCTCCCCGGGAGCGTCACTGTCCGAGGAACACCCGAGGGTGTGTCTGAGCGGCCCAGGGCGGGCTCGTTGGTGCGGGTGCGAGGGAGAGTCAGTGCGGTTTCCAGAACAGCCGCTCCTCTGATCCGTGAGTCCTGCTGTCTGTTGCTTGGGCTTCAGGCCCTGCCAGTTCCTCGAGCGTGCACTTGGCCTGGGCCCCTGGCAGGGCTGCGGCAGCTGCTCATGTGTCCTCAGGACCTGGGCCTGCGCTGCAGCCACCTGCTGGGGTAGGGGCCGCCCTTCCCGGCCTGGTCCTCAGGCAGGTGGCATCTCTGCCCTCGCGCCTCTCTCAGGAGTTGGACATCACGGTGCCTGTCTCAGCTGTGACGGGGGTCCTCTTGTCTGCACGGGCAGAGCCCAGAACAGGCTGGCAGAGTCACCCCATCACTCTGTGGCTCCCACTCCTCTGCTCAGGGCTTCATTCTGCCTCCTCCTAGCCCCTCCCTGGGGGCTCCCTCCGCTGGCCCAGGCCAGGTGGGGGGTGGACTGGGCCACGGTTCCATGGGGGGGGTGTTGTGAGTAGGGTGCCCCAGTTCCCCACTTGTGCCTGCAGGCCTGGGCCAGCTGCTGGTGTGGGAGTGGCAGAGCGAGTCGTACGTGCTCAAGCAGCAGGGACACTTCAACAGCATGGTGTCTCTGGCCTACTCCCCCGACGGGCAGTACATCGTGACTGGCGGGGACGATGGCAAGGTGGGCTGCCGTCCTGTCGGCCTCGGCGCGCTGGGGCTCTGGCCACGCAGTGGTTGTACTGGGCTGCCCTGAAGTGGGGCTCAGTCTAGAGCTCGTGGCTTCACTCGGTCTCCTGTGGGCTCCTGAGAAGATATTTAAAAATGTCCTGGGATTTGAACAGAAAGGGCTTGGTCTCCCGCTCCCGCTCGCTCGTCCCTGTGTGGCCGAGTGGGTCTGCGGTGCCAGAGCCTCCTGCGCCTTGGGCCCCTTTGCACTGTCCACCGCCCTTGCTCCGTCCTCCTGCATCTGGAGGTGACAGGAAGAGGCAGGGCCAGATGGCCCCTCCAGGCCTCGGTGTCTCCTTGGCATGGTCCCGGGCCTGTGGGTGAGGCCCAGTAAGCCAGGGTGGCCATGGGCACGGGCCAGGGGTCTCAGAGCAGCTGTGGGCACGGGGTCGGCACCTGCCTGCCCACCCCTCACAGGCTCTCGCCACAGGTCAAGGTGTGGAACACCCTCAGCGGCTTCTGCTTTGTCACTTTCACGGAGCACTCGAGTGGGGTCACCGGCGTGACCTTTACTGCCACTGGCTATGTCATTGTCACTTCATCCATGGACGGGACCGTGCGTGCCTTTGACCTTCACAGGTGACGTCCCTGCTCTGAGTCACCCAGAGCAGGCTTCCCCCGCCCCTGCAGCTGGGCAGGGGTGAAGCTGCCAGGCCGGGAGGGCGCGGGAAACTGGCACGCGGTACTGACCGTGACTGTTCCTGGCAGGTACCGGAACTTCCGCACCTTCACGTCTCCGCGCCCCACCCAGTTCTCCTGCGTGGCCGTGGACGCGAGCGGGGAGATCGTCTCTGCTGGTGCCCAGGACTCCTTCGAGATCTTCGTGTGGTCCATGCAGACAGGCAGGCTCCTTGACGTAAGAGCCGGCACGTCCCTTGCGGGGGCTGGGCTGGGGCGAGGGCCCCGCGTCACCCGGGGCTGCTGTGCTGCTGTGGGAACGGGCCCTCCTGCCGCCCGTGAGAGGCGCGCAGGGAGCCGGGATTCCACCGGAACAGGCGGCCCCTCTACGTGAGGTTCCGGCCTGGCCTCCCTCACCAAGCCAGTGACAGCCGCTCAGCCCACAGCTCGGGCGCTCCCGGGGCCGCTGTGCACTAGTGTCACGCGTGCCGGCTGCTTCTCACATCTCACCCTTGGAACCTCTGCTCTGCTGCAGGTTCTGTCTGGCCACGAGGGCCCTGTCAGCGGCCTGTGCTTTAACCCTGTGAAGTCCATCCTGGCCAGCGCCTCCTGGGACAAGACAGTGCGCCTGTGGGACATGTTCGACAGCTGGAGGACCAAGGAGACGCTGGCCCTGACCTCCGACGGTGAGCTGCACGGGGCTCAGCAGCGAGGAACAGCAGCCCAGGGACCAGAGTGGTGCCTCCAGGCCTTGCTCAGCCCTGGTCTTGGCTCGTGGTGTTCCTCTCCCTGTCGGTTGTGGGCTTGGCGTGAACCCGGGGGCGGGAAGAGCGAGACGCAGGAGCCGGGGCAGATGGGTGGTTCAGCCCAGGGTCGAGTCCCGTCGGGCTGGGAGCCCCGGAAAGGACGGTCCACGAGTCCTCGCTGGGCTCCCACCCGGCGGAGAATGAGCCTGGCGGGGCGAGGAGAGCAGCAGCTGGTTTCCTGCTGTTTCCTGGAGTGCCTTTGAGTTTGCCCCTCGTCCTTGGACCCCTGGGAGGACACGGTGGTGTTGAGGGCCCAGACCCCCTTCCCTGAGGCTGGGCTTTGGGCTGTGCCTCACCCCTGCCACTGGTCTAGGAACCAGCAAAGTCTAGCGTAGTCTGCGGCCCTCGGCACCACCCGTCCCGTGAGGAAGTTCCGCTGGGACGCAGCCTGGCTCCTGTGCGGCCCCGGTGCTGGCTGCCGTGACGCTACAGCGGCAGAGCCAAACGGCCACGTGGCTCACAAAGCCGAGCCGCCGCCGTGTGGCCGTGCAGAGCGTGTGCCCACCCGGGAGCTGTGGGTGCTTTGCGACATTCCCAGCTTCCCGCTGTTGACACCACAGCTCTGGTTCAGGCGTCCGGTGCTGGCGTCCTGCGTCCTTGCAGGGGCTCTGCGTTCCAGTCTGTCCTGCGCTTCCCTCAGGATAACCTTCACCGTGATGTGCCCATCAAGCTGGCATCGCCAGCGCTGGCCTCCCTCAGTGGAGCCTTTGAGCCAGTCCTGCTGCCTTCCTCGACCTCGCAGTGCCCTCCGAAGCCACCTTGTCCCCGGAGGTGGCTGTTGTCAGTGCTCGGTGGTTCCTGGCTGGGACGGGCAGTGGCCCTTGCCCGCCTGGGTCGGCGCGTCTCCTGATAGGAGCTTCTCATGTGCCTGGGCCTGACGGGGGCTGGGCCCTCAGGGGTGCCGGACCCCGGTCTTCCTCCAGCCTGCTCTCCCGTCTCTGTTTAGCGCTGGCTGTGAGTTTTCGCCCTGACGGTGCGGAGCTGGCCGTGGCCACGCTGAACTCGCAGATCACCTTCTGGGACCCCGAGAACGCTGTGCAGACGGGCTCCATCGAGGGGAGGCACGACCTCAAGACGGGCAGGAAGGAGCTGGACAAGATCACGGCCAAACACTCGGCCAAGGGGAAGTGAGTCAGCTCCTGGGCTGGCAGGGGACGAACACACCAGGGCCCCTTTCTGTCGGCCTGCGGGGGTGGCAGCTCTGGGCCCTTCCCTGGATCTGAGACCCCAGCCAGTGGCCAGGTTCTTGCAGCCTCCTCTTCTGTGGCTTGTCCTTTGTTCCTGAGATGGCTGAGTCCCTGTGGGTGGAGTCAGGTGGTCCTGAGCTCCCATAGCCCCCAGCACGGGAGGCCATTTGGATTTGCTGACCATAGACTCATCCAGCTGAAAGGCTGAATCCTTTCAGAGTTAAATTTAAGAGTAAAATCTCAGTGTCTCAGTCCCGCCAGCCACCTCCCAAGTGCCCCACTCTGTCACGTGGGGCATCACATGGGACATCACACTGGACAGCAAAGGCAGAGTGTTCCCTTGTTGCAGGGAGTCACGGGCCAGCTCTGACAGACCCTCCCGCGCTGAGCCCTGAGGCGCGTCCTGGGCAGCGGCCCTGCCGGGGAGGAGGGGCGGGACCTGTGGGGCTGGCTGGGCCTGTCCCCTAGGAGCTTCCAGCAGAGGACGGTCTTCCTCCGGAAGGAAACCTGGCACTCGTCCTGCCGGTGTTTGTGTGCACACCTGTTTCCGGTTCTCATGGGCGTAGACAGCCCTGGGGTGGAACCGCGGGGCCTGTGGTGGGTAGTTCTGCGTCTGAACTTTCTGAGGAGCCGCCGGCTGCTTTCCGTCGCGGCGTCACTTTCCATGCCACGTACAGTGCGTGAAGGTTTCGGTTTCTCCAATCTTCCCCCACGCTTGTTCTTGTATTTTTTAATTAGCTCCATTCTGGTGGATAGGGGTTGGTATCGTGAGGTTTTGGTTTTAATTTTGCTAATGACGTTGAACATCTTTTCATCTGCTTGGTCACTGGTGTATCTTGGGAGAAATGTCTGTTCAAGTTTCTTACCCGGTTTTGAGTTGGGTTGTTTGGTTTGTTGATTTTTTTAGGAGTTCTTTATGTATTCAGAATGTGTCAGACATTTGATTTGCAAATATCTGTTCCGTTCTCTTAGCTGTTTTTTCACTTTTTCGGCGGGATTCCTTGACACGTGAAAGTTCTCAGTTCTGGCAAAGTCCAGTCTGTCCATTTTTTCTTCTGTCACTTGTTCTTTTGGTGTCCTTTCTAGTAAACCGTTGCCCATCCCAAAGCCACCGTCCTGTGGCTTCAGCGGCCGGTTAAGGGCCTGCTCTGTGGTTTCTGCGGGATCGAGAGGAGGCCGCGCAGGTGGGGGCAGACCGCCGGGTTCCGCGCTGGCGTCAGCGGGGAGCACCGAGCCTGCGGGTCCTTTTGTGAGGAAGATGTTGCCCCTCGGGAGCTGGAGCATCTCCAGGCGGCTGGTGCTGTCAGGCTGCACCGTGGGGATGGTTTGTTTCCTCACCACTATACAAATGAGGACCACTGTTGGGTTTTAAAAGTCTCCTGTGTGAGTTTAGGCAGCGGGCCTTGGAGAAAGCTAGTGTCTGCCTTGTAGGATATTTGGGCAGGGCCCTCAGTATCTCCTGAAGCTGTTTGTCACAGATCCCACATGCTGGAGGTCTGTTGGCAGCCACTCTGAGCCCGTGCCTCCTCCACCCAGGGCCTTCACCACGCTGTGCTACTCTGCGGACGGCCAGAGCATCCTGGCGGGAGGCATGTCCAGGTTCGTGTGCATTTATCACGTCAGGGAGCAGATTCTCATGAAGAGGTTTGAGATCTCTTGCAACCTCTCCCTGGATGCCATGGAGGTAAGCCAGGGGCGCTGGGCCGCGTGCGGCTTCAAATGCAAGGTCAACACATTGGGCTCCTAAGTGTGGCGTTCCTGGCCTCACAGGGCCCTGGCAGGTTGTGAGTTTGTAACGAAAGCGTGTGAGGCTGTTGCTCTGGGTGGGGGTGGGGGGCCTGGGCCGCCCCGACTGCCCCAGCATAGCCCAGGCCATGGAGCGTGCACCATCCTCACCCACCAGGTGAATGAGCCACCGGGCAGGTTGCTCTGAGGCTGGGGCTGCAGGTGGGGGTGTCTAGCACAAGCCAGCTCGGGGCAGGACAAGTGCAGAGGGTGGAGGTGGGCCCTGCCGGGCGTGGCTTGCTGTCTGCCCTGTGCCACCTGTCCCAGCTCTAGCATGGAGGCTCTGCCCTCCCTACTCCTCACCCTCTGGCTCCCATGGGACCTCAGGGTGACAGTGAAGGAACCTGGGAAGGCTCAGAGCAGGTCCGTGGCTGCCTGGGTCCACTACTCAGGCCCCATCATAGGGCGAGGGTCCTATGCGTGTCCAGAAGCTCTTCCCACCCCCGGGTGTTTCGGGGGGAAGTGCCCTTGGCATTTCCGGAGGGGGCAGCCACCCCGGGTCCCCAGCAGGCATTCCCACTGTGACAGTGAGTGTCTGCTCCCACGGCCTCCACATGGGCCCTATCTGCAGCAGGCTCTGCAGGAAGTTTCTGTGGGTGCGTAGGGTCTGTCCCTGTGTTTTGGGGGTCCGTGTGTGCTGTCCTTTCAGACAGGGCTGGGGGGTGGTCCAGTGTTGGTGGCACACCAGTGAGGGAGGGACAGGAGAGAGAGGTAGCCGGGCCACCTGTCGGAGGCAAGGTGTCCATGGCTTTTGCTTTTCTAGGAATTTTTGAACCGAAGAAAAATGACAGAGTTTGGCAACCTGGCACTGATTGATCAAGATGCCGGGCAGGAGGACGGAACCGCGATACCATTGCCAGGCGTCAAGAAAGGTGAGTCTGGATGAGACAGTAACAGAAGTCTGCCTGCTGCCCACTGTTCCTGTGTGACAGTGACCTTGCTCCCTCGGGGCTGCAGTGTAAGTCAGTACTGTCACCGTGTTGTGACGTTTGCTGGGTTGGGGGGTGCTGTCTGGAGAACACCCAGTGGGTCAGGTGCTGGTGCCACCAGACCCTTCGGCAGGAGCAGCTGCCTGTGAGTCGCTGCAGGCAGCCTCCCTGTCCTGGCCGGGCCCTTTTTGTGCCACGTGGGGCTCAAGGAGCATTTTGGGGCAAGATCTGCTATTGAGGTGTCACGGGGGGAATGTGTGCGCCTTGGTGAGACAGGGTGGAGAGCCAGGTGTTCTGGAAGACTCAGGGACCACCTGGGCACTGGGCAGACTGGCTCATTGGACACCCACCATCCAGGAGTCCTGAGCGCCTCCGGGCGCAGGCCCAGGGCACCGTGTGGAATGGCCCTGGCGCAGGGCTTGCCGCTGCAGCTGCTGACGGGACAGGAAGGGCCTGACCAAGCAGAAGCTGCTGCTCTTGGTGGGCCCCATACCCGCCCCCAGCAGGGAGGACCTGCAGGGCGGCCTTTCTCTGCCAGGTGGGCAGCCTGCGTGTGCTGCCTGGTAACTGTTGCTAACTGATCGGCTCTTCTTTTCCCAGGTGACATGAGTTCACGGCACTTTAAACCTGAAATCCGGGTGACTTCCCTCCGCTTCTCTCCCACTGGTGAGCACCGAGTTAGGGGTTGTTGGTCCTGATGGACGCCGGGCCTCTGCTCCCAGGGAAGAGGCTGGTCGTGGAGCAGGCTCTGTGTGTGCTGTTCCCCATGGGCAAGAAGGTGACACTGTTAACCCTGCTGATCATGCGGTTGCCCTTGTCCCTGAGAACAATGACTATGACAGTGCTGACCTCAGGCATGGGCTTCGGTACAGGCCGGCTCAGCACTGCCGTTGGTGCAGCAGCTGCCTGAGCACCCTCCATGCGTGGCCGGACTGTCCAGGCTCTGCCACGTTCAGGGCCTTCCTCCCCCACCCTGCCCCCGTCCTCCGGCTACAGCGGGGAGTCTGTGCCCCAGCCACGGGTCTTGTCAGGTACATGTGGTCCCACACGGGAGCAGGCAGCTAGTCACCAGCAGGTACAGAGCAGCCCGGGTGCTGCTGTCAAGTGACCCAGGGGATCTGCACAGCATGGCCTGTGGCCAGATCCTGCCGCCAGCTGTTCTTGCCGTGAAGCTTTCCTGGGACACGGCAGCACTTGTCATTGGCGTAGCTTGTCTGTGGCTGCTTCCCAGGTGCCGCGGCAGCACCCAGTGGTCACAGCAGAGACTATAGGGCTTGCAGAGCTGAAAATCACTGCTCTTTATAGAGAAGTTGGCTGCTCCTGGCGTAAGGAGCCGAGAAGACGTACGTGTACTTGCTCATGTGCATGAAATAGCTCTGGGAGAACATCTACGAGGACCATGCCGTTGGTTCCTTCCAAAGGGTGTGGTCCGGGGTGAAAGGATAGCGTCCCAGATTCCTTCTTGTACTTTTACATTTTGGACCATGGGAATGGACTCAATACCTTTTTTAAAAAAACGCAGGGATGGGGGATGAACTTCAATTTTTAGGAAACTACTGCTTAACTTCCCAGGGCGCTGCTGGGCAGCCACCACCACGGAGGGGCTCCTCATCTACTCCCTGGACGCCCAGATGCTCTTCGACCCCTTTGAGCTGGACACCAGCATCACCCCTGGGCGGGTGCGCGAGGCGCTGCGCCAGCAGGAGTTCACCAGGGCCATCCTCATGGCCTTCCGTCTCAACGAGGACAAGCTGGTGCAGGAGGCCCTGGAGTCGGTGCCCAGCGGAGAGAGTGAGCGTCAGGGCCTGTGGGTCCAGGGCCACCAGTCGGACTTCTGGGGTTCTTTGCAAAGGCAGAAGGGCACAAGGTGTCACCCGTTCTTCTCCTAATTTGCATTCTTTGCAGAATAAGCATGGCTGTTTTTCCCACTTCTTTACAGTTGAAGTCGTCAGTTCCTCCCTTCCTGAATTGTATGTAGAGAAGGTGCTTCAATTTTTAGCTTCCTCCTTCGAAGTGTCTCACCACCTGGAATTCTACCTTACGTGGACTCAGAAATTGCTCATGTTGCACGGACAGAAGCTGAAGTCCAGGTAAGCCTGTTTCACCACCGTTCATCTGATTCTTGTCACTGGAGCAGCTGGTCTTGGGAGGTGGATAGGGGGGAACTTCACGTGCAGATACAGCGGGACGTGAGCGCGTGTAACACTCCGGTCTCCCTTCCAGAGCGGGGCAGCTGCTGCCGGTGGTGCAGTTCCTGCAGAAGAGCATCCAGCAGCACCTGGACAACCTCTCCAAACTGTACGTGCTGCTGGCCTGGTCGTGGGCAGGGTGGGGACTGCACTGTTCTCTCCTGGTTCCACATGGGGGATGCTGCGCCCTGTGTCGTCTGATTTGGGGACAGAAGGTTCTCGTGTTGAGGTGTTTGTTCTCTCACCTGCCATCTTTAACTGGATCCACCTGGCCACCCACAGGTTGGCCAGCTTTGGATGTGGCCTGGTGCTAAGCAGTGAGAAACAAAGGTTGGCAGCAGTTGGATGAGCCGGGGATGGGACATGTCCCAGGTGTAGCTAGAATCCTCCAGCCTCTCAGGAGGGATCTGTCAGGTTCTTAGGACTAGGCCGTCTTTCCTAGATTATTTGCATGGCACCTGCATGGGCATTGGGGGCTGGTAAGGGGGCCGTGGGCTAGGTAGCCCGGATTTGTGGGGGTGTGGCTGCTCTGAGCCTCTGTTTCCCCAGCAGGAAGATGGGGGTGATAATGAAAGCAGGCGCTATCTAAGGGCCTAGGACAGTGCCTGCTCCCCCCACCTGCTCTGTGAGGTGTCCCCTTCTCCAGTCCTTTGTTGTCCTCGGCAAATCTCCCTCCCTTAAGGTCCAGCAGAGCCCAGACTGTAAAAGCCTTATAGTGGCCTTTCAAAGATGTCTTCCCTCCCTCTGTCACCAATCACTTGCCAGGTGTCCCAGCTTCACTGCTGACGGGTCTGTTCTCTGCCTGGTATGTTGCTTGTCCAGCATCCATGGGCTGAGGCCTGAGCCTGTCTGTCCTTGCACTGGTCCCTTGATCTTTATAACGGGTCCGAGTTTAAAGTGAGCCGTTCCTCCTTGCGCCATTTCTTCCTGCATGTTCTGGCTGCAGGATGGCTGGGGCGGCAGAGGTGGTTGTGCTGATCTGTGACCTCTGCCGCTGAGCCTTCTCGGCTGAGACGTCCCGGACTCTCCAGCTCCTGTTAGATTTATTCCTTGCTACCTGATGTTTTCTAGAGTTAACGTAAATGCACCACCCTTTGGACTTCTCTGGAGTTGCTGATGTGTAGGGAAGCGGGGGCTGTTGTCGGTTACTTGGGAGGCGGTGTCGCACGGGCAGCCCCACCACGTGCAGTCGCAGTGTGCGCTGCTCTCGCGCCTTTCTAATCCTTGTGCTGTTTAGCTGCACTTCTTCACTGGGTGGTTGTCCGCATAAAACGATGGTGTGTCTTTTCTCCTTTATTCTGTTAATGTGGGGAATTGCCTTGTTCTGAGAGCCCCTCCGCTCTCTAAAACAACCCTGAGGCTCCGCAGAGGTCTCTCCTTAAGTGTTTGGTGAAACTTGCTGAAGCCATCATCTGGGTCAGCCCAGCGGAGAGGCCGGGGTGGGAGGACGGACCAGAGGGATGGGGTTTTACATTTGGGTCCTTGAAGGCCGTTGGTACTCCAGGGCCAGGTCGGCCAGCAAGGGAGGCAGCAGCAAACAGCTGGGGCAGTGGGAGGCGTGCGCAGTCCCTGCTGGACTTTCTTGGGGTCACAGAGAAGGCAGCTGGGTGTGGGGTGGGCTGGGGTTCTTGGCCTAGAAGATAGTTGTTGCTTGTACTGATCTGATCCCTGTGTGTTAACAGCTGTGACTGGAACCGCTACAACATTCAGTACACTCTGGCGGTTTCCAAGCAACGGGGCATGAAACGCTCCTTGGAACTGCCAGGAAGTGAGGAGGAAGCAGAAGGGTCTGAGGACGACAGTCTGTATTTGCTCGGAGCAGGGGACGCACATGAAGCACAAGGGACGCTGGGGTAGAGCCAGCCACGGCAGGTTATTCCAGTTAAGCCCCACCGAAGAGATGGAACCATGGGGCCACCTAGGCCAGGAGATGGGAGGAGATCCAGAGAACAGCTGACATATCGGCGCTGGTGACGTGCTTTTCCTGCAAGAACCAAACAGGCAGCCCGTAGGGACTGCGAGCTGACAGAGCCCAGGAGCTGGGCCGTGTGAATAGTGACAAATGTTACACCATCTGCTGTTGAAAACAGCTCTCGGTAAATAGGTTCACATAAACTTTGTAATAAGTTATTTATGTTTTTAATAAAAAGTTTTGATGGAGAACTTAGGAATAAAAAAGACAGAGTTTTCTGAAATGTTAGGGAGAAACCAAAACTCTGAATTAAAGATGCTTGTGTATCCTAGTGTCATACAGGGGATTGGGACCTGCCTACCTTCCCACCGGCGCTTCCATCTGGGGGAACAGGCCAGCAGGCAGAGTGGTCCTGGCATGCGGGGTGTGTAACCTGTGTGTATTCTCGGGGTGGGGACAGGGAACACCTGCTCCACTCTCTCACCTCTGGTGGGGATGCTGGGTCCGCCCTGTCCTGGTGCCCTCAGACCTGCTGCACCAGCTCGGTGGGGACCATGCAGAGGACTAGACAGCCCCTTCTCCCTGCGCTCCCCTTGGAAGGGTCCCTGGTCCCCACAGCTCGATGATGGTGGCCTCCGGAGTCAGGACACAGGCAGACCCATGCAGTGCTTCGCTGACACCATGTGTGAGTGTTGTCTGTCAGGCCAGCCCGGTGTGGACCACACGTCCCTGTGCGGCACTGACTTTCCCTTGCTCATCCGGGGAGTGGAGCTGACCTGCCCGCCTGCCTCCCAGGCTGGTGTGAGGCCAAATGGGTCAGGGCGGGGATGGTGCTACGACACCTGGTGTACCGTCAGCACCGCATGACTGTCATCAGATGTGTGGGCACCCTGTAACCTGTGAGCCCTCCGGTCACCCATGGTGCATCTGCTCAGAGGCCTGTAGACCAGAGGTATTTATAGAAAGGGAGAGCTCAGGCTCCCGGTACCACGGGGTGTTTTGTTCCTACACAATGTCCCCTGTGTATCTTAGACTGGAAAATAGAATCTGAGCTATTACCTGTCCCGAACAGAAAGTCCAGTGCTGCCCCTCCTCACCTCAGCCTTCTGATAAGTGTCACACCTGCACGGTGACGGACAGCTGAGTGGGTGGCCGTGGGGTGCCAGGAGGTGGAGCCCTGCCCTGAGCTTCAGGCCACTGGCCTCAGCAGTCAGGTGCTTGGTAGCAGCAGGCTCCTGGCCCCAACAACCGAGTCACATCTGCATTTAGCATTTCCTTTCCCTGGGTGAAGCTTTTAGGGCCATCCCAGGTCGCACCACTCCCACCAGCTGGCGTCCCCAGATGTGCTGCAGGAGAGAAGGATGGAGCCACTGGTCCCGCGACCTGACAGGAGCCAGGACGCCTTGGAGATTTTGCAGCAGCAAGGAGGCTGTTCAGGGCGCCTCTCGGTCCACCTGTGGGACCGACGGGGCCAGGGACAGGGACGGGCGTCCAGGAATAAGGACGAACACTCCTGGCTCACCTCTGGGTCCAGCTTCTGTAACACCCCGTTACTGCGGTTCCCACCGTCTTCCGGAGGTTGATGGGAAAGTCAGTGAGGGACAGTGTCAGCGTCGTAAGCACAACGACAGCCTTGGCCGAAACGCCGACGTGTCCCCGGAGCCCGCCGGCATCCTCTGGCAATGACAGATTATCGGCAGTGACATGACCGCAAACGGCTGCGCGGAGTCAGAAACTGGAGAGTTTGAGAAAGGAGGCACGTGCCGGCGTTCCCACGTGAGCTGCGCCCGCCCGGGCCTGTCGCACGGGAAGGACGCTGGCCCCACTCAGCGGCCCGAGCGCGCGGACGCGGGACACTCGCAGACCGGCCCTCGGCCTCGTGGCTGCGTTCCCGGATACGGAAGGGGCGGGCCCCGCACGACGCGACCGCAGAGGGGCGCGAGCGGGCGGGCGTCTGGCTGCCAGCTCCCGGCGACCCGGCGGACGGGACGGACCAGCTCCGGAAACGGCCGCTCTGGAGGACTCGGGGCAGGAACCGCGGGCGGGGCGGGCACCACTGAGTCATGGCAAGGGGCGGCATCACGTCAAGGGGTGGCATTACGCCAAGGGCGGTGGTATACGTCACGTGACGGCATTACGTCAAGGGCAGTGGTATGACGACAAAGGTGACCATGGGGAGGCGTCGTCTCCAGAGCCGCGGTTCAGCGTGGGGCACCGGGCAGCGTCGGGCTGCGGGCCGCCTCCACGACGGGGATGCTCTGGGGACCACCGCAGCAACTAGGCGCGGCGCGGGGGACTCCCCGCCCTCGGGTCTGGAGCGGGGCGCCAGTCCACGCGGGCCAGGGACGTACGGATGGGCGGGTCCCGGCGCTCCGATGGCGACTGCGCAGGCGCAACCCCGCCCACCGGCGCGCCTGTGGGGAATGGGGCTGATCCCCGGGGTTCCGATGGCGACTGCGCAGGCGCAGCTGCGCCCATCGGCTCGCGGGCGAGGGGTGGGGCGTGTCCCGGGGCCCCATTGGCTACTGCGCAGGCGGGCGGTGCGCAGGCTGGGCGGCTGCGGCCTGACCTTGCGACCCCGCTGTCCTCACCGCTATGGCGGCCGCCGGGGCCCTGGTGGTGTCGAGACTGGCCGCGGCCTCCGCGTTTGCGCCGCTCCCCAGCCGCCTCCGGCAGCCTCCCCGCTGGGGCCAGACGCCCTTCCTGCGCGCCGCCCTTCACGGCTCCGCGCCGCGACCCGCAGCCAGGGTCGCGCTGGTGAGTGGACAGCGGTGCGGCGGGCCGGCTCCTGCTGCCAGAGGTCGGCCCTCTCCTTCTCCCTGGGTCAGTTCCCGCCGCCCGAGGTCGGTCCCTCCTCCTGGGTCAGTTCCCGCCGCCCGAGGTCGGTCCCTCCTCCTGGGTCAGTTCCCGCCGCCCGAGGTCGGTTCCTCCTCCTGGGTCAGTTCCCGCCGCCCGAGGTCGGTCCCTCCTCCTGGGTCAGTTCCCGCCGCCCGAGGTCGGCTCCCCCACGTCAGCTCCTGCTCCTCCACGTCAGCTCCTGCTCCTCCTCTCCAGGTGCTGTCTGGATGCGGCGTCTATGACGGGACCGAAATCCACGAGGCCTCGGCGTAAGTCCTCAGGGACAGCTGGTCCTCCCCCGCGCCAGCTCGGGAAGGGCTCTCTCCCCATGCAGTTTGCCTTTTCTTGAACCGTTTAGACAAAGCATGTATTTTAAATATCCTGTTGCTGACTAAAAACGCAAAAACGAGTGGCAAAAAACAGGGGGCCCTGAAAGCACTTTAAAATATCAGTTAGCGTACCCTCATCTGGAGACGATCACTCAGCATTTCACTTCAGCCTGTTCAGTACACACGCGTTTTACAAACTTTGGATCGCAGTTACCTGCCACGTGCAAATGCTTCTTTCGCAGAGGAACTAATTTCCTTCCATTCGGTTCTCAGCTGCAGGATGTTAAGGTTACATTGCATTGTATTCTGTGTTGCAGATGGGTTATCACTTATGAAATTGGTCAGTTATTGCTGCTCTGAATTTTTATTTTATCAGAAGTTACTGTGAGCAGAACCAGTAGGGTATTAGACCTGCTGCTCATGCCAGATCACCGTGTTTGCCATGTGGTTAAGAGTAAATTGAAGAGGAGAGAGGTAGGTAGTGGCTAAGGTGTGTCGGGCGGCTGAGGGGACTAGTGGCTGTGCAGGGCCACCGCACCTGCCCGATCTGGAGTTGGCTGTAGACGTGGAGTGAGCCTCGGAGTGAAGGAGCCGGGAGGCAAAGGGCCAGGATGTGATTTGTGACTGGAGCCTGGGGAGAAACAGCCTGTGAGTCGGGAGACAGCCAGAAAGTAGCTTGAGACCGCCCAGGTGGACCGGCAAGGCATGTGTCTGGGGCTCCTGGGTGGCTTCTGTACAGATAGCAGGACCCAAGGACCAGAGCCAGATCCTAACTGCGACCCGGGGCAAGTCACTGCGTTTCAAGCCTCAGTTTCCGCTGTGGGAGGAGCAACAAGAGCCCCTGTGTCTGGGTGGGATTAGCGAGCTGTCGTGTGTTGGCATTTGGAATCCAGCTGGCACAGAGTGAGCCCTCACACTGTTATCCTCAGTGTGAGCCGCCCGTTGCCCTTGGGGAGAGGGAGTTCCTCCCTGCCTGCTCATGTTGTCCTGGTGTCTCCATGTCTCTCCCACCACCTGTGACAGGGGAGCTGGGGAGACTAGGAATTGAACTCACTAAGTCATGTGGACACCCCCACACACACTCTCCGAGCGTGTTGCACACACTGCCGTTCGTTCCTGAAGCTCTGTAGCCAGCGGCCCTGGGAGGTCAGACAGGCCGTGGGTGAAGGCTCAGCGCTCAGCGGCTACCTGGGAAGGCGAATGCATCCAGGCTGTGGCCTCAGCTGAGTCACCCGGCCCCCGTGCCCCAGTTTGCACAGTCACTGTTGGGACCAGTGATCTCCCCAGACTACTTCTGTGAGACCATCACAACCCACCGGGTGACAGTGAATGGGAATTGGAGGCATTTGGGTCGGCAAGCCAGCCACTCCTTTTTGAAAAGCGAATAGGATGTTAACGTAGATTGGGAATTTACTCCTGGCCCTAAGCTAAAATCCTGTTTTTAAATGTGTGTTGACACAAATCTGGAGGGAGCGCATTTCAAAGAGTGGTCTCTGGTTTTCTCCTGTGCAGGATACTGGTGCACCTGAGCCGCGGGGGGGCCGAGGTCCAGATCTTTGCTCCTGACGTCCCTCAGATGCACGTGATCGACCACACCAAGGGGCAGCCTTCTGAGAGCGAGACCAGGTGCGGAGACAGGGTGGAAACTTAGAGCTTCTGCCCACCCCCCACTGCGCAGCCTTCCTCGCTGGCTTCATTTAATGGGTGCCTGAATCTGTGTGTTCAAATAATGCCCTCCTCAGGCTGTTCTGGAAGTAATGCCACTTTGGCTCGGAATATTTCTTACTTTCCAATACTTTCAGAAAGAGAGAAAATGTTCATTGACTGTGTGGCTTCCTGCTGAGCAGAGCTGCTCATTCCTTCGTTTTGAGCGAAGATGGTGTTTCTCAGTTGGGTTACCCGCCTGTTCGCCTGTCTGGGCTCCAGGTCTCTCTCAGCTAGTCCCAGCAGCGCTCCTGTTACTGAGGCGTGTGTGGTCCTGGCCGTGCCCCAAGATCCGTTTCTCCCCCTGCCTGTCCTGCTCCCACTGCAGAGTAGCAGCCTCTTCCGGGTGTTTCCCGGCGCCTTCCAGCTGGCTTCGGACAGAGGAGGGAGGGGCTTGCGACCAGAGGAAGAAACCGCAGCTCTGTCTCCCAGGGACTGTGGTTTCTCCTGCCTGGGTGACTGGCCCCTGGCTCCTGAAGCCTGGGCCTGCTCCTTCTGTCCCCTAAGCCGAGGCTGCTAGTAGCTTCCTGCTTGGGCGACTCTTGGGTCACTTCACTTACCGCGAGCAGTGGCTTCTTCACTACCCTGTGCCACCATCCTGGCGGGATGCGCTGGGTTCTGTCTGCTTTAGAGACTTGGAGGGGTTTCCTTCCCTGGTGGCCCTGGCTGGCACAGAAGGCCGAGTCATTGGCCGTAAGTTCCAGGGTTCTGCTCTAAAGGGCCTCAGTGTGGACCGAGAATTGTAGAACAGTTTGGCCTTTCCTGGGTACTGACCTGGAAGTGTTACGTCCCTGCCCATGTGGCGCTGTCCCTGCCGGCTGAGAGCTGTGTGGAGAACGCGTCCTCTGCGGGCAGCGTCCCCTGCAGAGCAGCCCTCTGCCTGCACACTGAACCTTTCTTTCGGGCTCTGCTTTCCCAGGAACGTTTTGACTGAGTCGGCGAGGATCGCCCGTGGCAAGATCGCAGACCTGGCCACGCTCAGCGCAGCCAACCACGATGCTGCCATCTTTCCCGGAGGCTTTGGAGCTGCCAAAAACCTGTGTGTATTCAAGTGTCGGGGTCTCGTGCTGCTTTCCACGTGCAGCGATAGCTGGGAGGGGGTGGTGGCAGGAGCAGCCATTGGGATTTGGGGGTCTGAACGGTGCACGTGCCTGCTTGTGACTGGGAGCCGCTGTTGGGTGGCGCTCAGGTAGCATTTCAGCAAGGCGGGTGTCCTCTGCTTCCCCTCCGGGCACTCGTGGTACCGACAGCTGCCAGAGTGGGCTTCCCTGTCCTCCCCGCCATGCCGTGTGGCTCATCACCGTGGAATCAGTCTCTGGTGTTTATTCTTTGCAGATACCAATTCTGTCGTAGAACCTTGAAGCACAAAGTATTGCTTCCCTGTTAGAGAGTTCGAGTGGCGGTCTCAGTCTCCACAGGAGGAAGGGGGGCCTTCCTTGCTTTGCTGTTTGGGTGGTTTCCATAGTAACTGGACCGGGCACTGTGGGGGCCTGGCAGGCACCTCACACAGCAATGGCCTGTGGGTTTCAGATCCGCTGTGTTTCCTTCTCTGGTGTCCCAGACCCCTCCCTCCCCTGCTTTCCCAGCACGCGCCCCTCCCTGCTGTTCGGATGCCCCTTTCCGTCGTCCCCCCTGTGTGCAGCATCCTCACAGCGGTGCAGGTCGCACCCACACCTAGATCACAAACCGGAAGGGCTTCTGGCCTGTTTCCCTGCTGCCTGCTGAGGGTAGAGTCAGAATCTCTTGTTAGCACTGTGAAGCCTATGTCCCCTTCCCTTGTCCCCTTCCCCCCCATCAGCTCCTCCAGCCCGAGTTGGGGAGGAATGGGGGAGGGGCAGGCCACCTGCTTTGAATCCATGTGCTGACTTCGTCCCTCCTGTCCCATGTGGTCAGCTGATAAGTTGACCTTTATTCCATCCGCAACAGCACAGCAGCCTCCTGGCTGGGCACTCGCACGCTCTGGGCGTCCTGTGCTGGGCAGGGAGGGACAGAGGCGTTTCCTTCTCTGACCGTGCCCTTCCTTACTCTGAAACCTCAGCGCGGTGCTTTGCCTGCGGGTGTCAGGACTCCTCCTCCTGCCAAATTCTGGCCATTTTCCCAGCCCCTCTGGCAGTGCCACGCGCCTTGCTGCTGCCTCACGTCCACTCCTCTGCTGAAAACCAGTGCACTTTGGTGCTGCCTGAGCCCCAGACCTAGCGTGGCCCCTTGTCCTTTTCTCCAGTGGTTTCACCAGCCGCCTGGCAGGACGGGCGGGCAGTGTGTATAGCCGGAGTTTCTCTCCAGATGGTTTCTTTGTGAAGAGGATGAGCTGAGCTCACAAATTGCTCTGCCTCACCTCCAGCCGTGAACACCTCGCCTGAGGGGAAAGGGCCGTGGGAGGGTGTGCTGGGGTTCCGCGTCCCACCCCGCAGACAATCTGCATCTGCTACCAGGACGTGGGGCATGTCAGGGTGCATGGTGTGGTGAGGCTCTGTCGCAGCACTCGGGGCCTTTGGACCCATGTGGTGTGCATCTGACCTCACGCTCCTTCCTGGGCACTGCTCGCATCCCCGCCCACCCTTCCAGAAGAAAGACTGGCCCGGCGGGCCCGGCTCCCGCAGAGGACTGCTGAGGGCCGGGGCTCCTCTGACACAGCGGTGGCCATGCCTGCGGGTCAGTGTGGCTACCCTGGTGCAGCGGTGCTGTCAGTTATGGTGGGATCTGGTTCCTTCCCACTCTGACCCCAAACTCTCCCTGGCCACTGCTAACAGCTTTGTATGTATTTCTAGAAAATTCTGTGTATATGGGTATATTAAAATTTAACCAGGTAGGCCGGTCACAATGACTCACACCTGCAATCCTAGCACTCTGGGAGGCCAAGGAGGGATGATCCCTTGAGCTCAGGAGTTCGAGACCAGCCTGAGCAAGAGTAAGACCTCGCGTCTACTAAAAATAGGAAAAATTAGCTGGGCATGGTGGCGCGTGCCTGTAGTCCCAGCTACTCGGGAGGCTGAGGCAGGAGGATCGCTTGAGCCCAGGAGTTTGAGTTGCTGTGAGCTAGGCTGACGCCATGGCGCTGTAGCCCAGGCAACAGAGTGGGACTCTGTCTCAAAAAAAAAAAAATTAACCAGGTAGTAGCATCTTACACGTGTCGTTCTGTGCTTTGTGTTTTTTACTCACCTGCGTCGTTTGGAGATGGCTGGTGTAGAGTCCCCTGCATAGACCAACTGTGACCCGTTTAACTAGTTCCCACTGACGGCCACGCAGGGCATTTCTAGTCACCTTGTTTTCATTAGCATCTTGGAGGTGTAGCTGATGTACACGTGTTTAAAGTGCACAGTTGATCTGTTTGGGCCCTTGTGCACCCCTGAGGCAGTCTCCACATGGGGACGGTAAACATCCATCACCCCAAAAGAGTCCCAGTCCTTTGCAAGCAAACACGCGACAAAGATGCTGGAATGAGGGGATGGGCAGCGCAGAGCCTGAGGAGTAGAGTTCTTGGCAAGGGCACCTGTGCCGTTAGATCTGGGGGTGCTGCCGCCCCCCCGCAGCTCCTGCCTCAGCGTGGTGAGGAGGGCGTCTCTTGTCGCTGTCAGTGGCGTAAGTACGTCCCTGTGTTTGGGTCGGTCGCATTTCTTTTCCTGCAGGCTTTTCTGCCTGCTTCCTGGGCTTTCTTGCCGCCCCATGACTTAGCAGACTCTGGAGGGTCCACACTGGGGATGGCTCCCAGCGCCCTCCGTCTGCCACCCCATTCGACGTCACTCCACTTTCTGTGCTGTTTCTGCCTAAAAACGGGAAAAAAATCAGATACATAATTACACACACACAGACGGGCATCCACGCATGTCACTCGTCTCAGTGGTCTAGCACTCGCTGGAGCAGAGCTGAGAGCTGGGGGGGGTGGGTGGGGGCTGCCCAGGAGAACGGACGCCGAGTGCGGCGCTGTCTGAAGAGGCCTTCGTCTCCCGGCAGGAGCACGTTCGCTGTGGATGGGAAAGATTGCCGCGTTAACAAAGACGTGGAGCGTGTCCTGAAGGAGTTCCACGCAGCCGGGAAGCCCGTCGGGTACGTGCGGCCAGGCCTTGGGGAGGGGTCGCTTGCAGGCGGGAGCGTGGCCGTGTGGTCCTGGAAACAGGCTGGCGCTTTCACTGGGGGGCTGCACACGCCGTCACGGCTGCCTCCAGCTCCTGCCGTGTGGGTGCCCGCATTCCTTCTGATGTCGCCACTGCCCTGGTGGAGACCTGTCATTCTTCCAGCTTCCAGAAATGCCCCCGACAGTCCTTTCTTAACGCCCAGCCTTCCCCACGCCTCCCCCTCCTCGGTCTAGCAGCACCCGAGCCGCGGCTCTCCTGGCTTCCGCTGCCCGGGTCATGGCAGCACGGGCCCCGTCTGACTCCTGTTCACTCCCGGCGCCCCCTCCCAGGAGCTGTACTCAACCACATCCCTTTGTCCCCATGTCCCCACATGTCCCTGCACTGACTGTGCTCTTTGCACCTTTCAGCTTGTGCTGCATTGCGCCCGTCCTCGCGGCCAAAGTGCTCAGAGGCGTCGAGGTCACCGTGGGCCACGAGCAGGAGGAGGGCGGCAAGTGGCCCTACGCCGGGACCGCAGAGGCCATCAAGGCCCTGGGTGCCAAGCACTGTGTCAAGGGAGTGGCCATATCCTTTCTGGCAGCCGGGACCAGGCCCGTGGTGTGCCTGTTTGTCCCTGAGATGTGTGTTGGGGACGCCCCTCCTCCAGGGCAGCCTTGGCAGGTGGCTTCTTCACCAGGAGCTGCGCTTGCTGGTCTCACCGTGGGGGCACCATGGCCTCGTGCCTGGGGGAGCAGCGCGGGTGCTGGGGAGGGGAAGGCTGCGCGGGGGTGTGACGGTGAGGGACCCAGGCCGGGTGTGCAGGAAGTGCCTGCAAGGGCATCCTGGCTTGGTTTTGGGGGAGGCTCCTCGGGCCGGTTGGGATGGTCCCATCCCAGCATCCTCTGCTCTGACCTGCTGGAGCAGGTCCTTTGCGCTGTGAAGGCTGGTGCGGCTGTGGCCGTGGTGCTGAGGGCCTCGGGGGAGGTCCATGGAAGGTCCTGTAGGGCCCCTGGCTGCTTGCGGGATCTGTGGCCATGTCTGCAGGACACAGGGGAGAGCGAGGGTCTGTGGCTGGTTGGCCCTTGGCTGAAATTGCCCCTCTGCTGCTCTGCTCGAGGACCCAGCTCCCTCAGGGTTAGTTCTTAATCTGAAAAGTGGAGATGCTGCCACTTTCCTCCTCAGTGGTTGTGAGGGTCCCCAGGAGGGTGCCTCTGTCCCAGGGCAGGGTGCCCACCCTGTGGGGTGCTGGCGTGAAGTGCGTCCAGAGGCTGCTGGCTTCCTGTGCAGCGCGTGTGAATCAGAAGGTGAGTCTGTCTTGTCTAACTGGGCAGCGCACAGTGTAGGGAGGGTCCGGCCCACACAGGTGGCGCGGGGATGGAGTTCTCCCTGCTCCAGGTTCTGCTAAGAAGCGAGCTAGAAGGCGCTGCCGAGGGGTACCCAGGGAGCACGGGAGGGGCTGGTGCTTCACAGCCGAGATTCTCTCTGGTTCTTGGCGGGTGATGTTTTTCCATAACTTGTGCGCACGAAGCTCACGTGGACCTGAAAAACAAGGTGGTCACGACCCCGGCCTTCATGTGCGAGACCGCCCTCCACCACATCCACGATGGCATCGGAGCCATGGTGAAGAAGGTGCTGGAACTCACTGGAAAGTGATGCACACGGCCGGGCCCCCCTCAGGGCTGTGGGCCCAGCCTCACCCACCTGGCCTTGGAGCTGGTGGCCTGATTGCCGTCCAGCTGGGAACATGGCAGGACTTCACTCTTCGACCTAAGCAGGGCGGTGTGGGTACGGAGGGGGTGGTACGCGACGCTGTCCTCCGCTTAACTTCCCTTGACGCGGCGGCGGAGGCCGGGGCGGCCGATGGTTTAGTCTCTAAACCACGGTGACTTGCCTGGCTACGCGTCTCCCGAACATTCACATCCACGCTGCTTTTTCAGGACGAGAATCACGTAGAGAAATCCTGTTCTGTGGGCTTAGGTTTGATGATTCGGGTTATTCAGGTTTTGGAAAAAAAAAAATACTAAGTTTACAAGTCTAATCGGCAAACCAGAAACACCACGTTTCGAGACAAAGGTTGATTCTCTATCTGGGGTAAACTTGTGCTAATTAAAGCGAGGGGGTCTCTGTGGCAGGCAGTCCTTTTAGCCGCGGAGAACATGCTGCTTTCCAGCGGGCGCTTCCGACAGCTGCGTGTTAGGCCTGGAACCAGCGAGGGTGGAGTCTAAACGGGGTTCCCTAGGTTAGTCTCTGCTCCCTGGGTTCTCGGGGAAGGGGGTTGCCGATGCTTGGCATCTGAAACTGACCTGCCGGATACCGACGGCAAAGGTCCCAGGCCGTGGAGAAGAGGTGTGGAAAGGGAAAAGTAAAGCACATTGACATAGTGCTGGCGTTGGTCTTTGTGTGGGTGGCGGGGGGCGTTGGGGAGAAAACATCGTGGATGGAAGTGGGGTGTCTGTGCACACGTCACCCAATGTAGAATGTCCTTTCCCCTTCTGGTCTGACTGCCTGAGCAGGCAGGGCTGAGCCAGCCCCTGGGCGGCTCCCTGCCCGGGTGGCAGTGGCTGCTGCAGCGTCGGAGGCTGGTCTGTGAAGACCGTTGCTGTGGGTCCCGGTGCAGGCCCTGGTTGCATGGGCACCCGCCACGCACTGTCATCTGACGAAAGGGACCTCCCTGCCCGTGTTCCCGGCTACACAGCAGGCGTGGGGTGGGCAGGGCTGCAGGTGGAGGCAGGAAGGGAGGCTGGTGTGTGGGTCCCCGGCCCTCAACCGGCATTGTGTCTCAGCCAGTCCTGACGCCTCTGGTTTCTCCTCCATGGGAACTCGATTCTCTGGTGTCCTGTCCCTCTCGCTGCAGAGCGGGGCCTCAGGAAGTCCACACAGGGCGAGAGCCTGCTCCGCACACCCACGCCCCGCCAGCAGGACCGCACTGCTCAGGTGCAGCTGAGGAGCCTTCTTGGCCGCTGGGCTCCCTAGAGGCCCGGTTGTGTCACCTTCACGTCACACCCACGTCTCCTTGCGCCCTGGCATGTGCCACCTCTGGAAGTGCCATGGAGGTGCCTGCTGAGCAGGGGACAGGGCATGGTGGCCTGGGAGCTTCATCGCGCCCTGGGGAAGTCTGCACGGGGCAGGCGGGGCACCATGTGGACCCCCCACGCCTGCGCCCACTGGAGGGTCACCCCACGTGGCCTGGGCATTGTTAGAGGCTGTGGAAGCACAAAGTGCCCAAGGAATGGAAGCCACACTCGGGAGTGACAGGCTGCGGTGTTTAACCCCTCACTTCTGCTGCACCTTCCGTGAGCCGGCCGTGGCAGGTACGCAGACGGAAAGTCCCCAGGGAAACGTTTATACGCTCACTGAATATTTGCCGTCCCCGTGGTGAGTCAGTCGTCCGTCCTTTTTCCATGCGAAGTATCCGATTGTCCGGAGTGGCTGCCATGCGTACTTTCCGTCCCCAAATCCCGCTGCAGTGGTCAGACGCAGCCTGGCACTCAGTGTTTCCCGTGTGCTGGCGTGGCCCGTCCTCACGGCATCTGATCTGGCAAAGGCAGCCCTGGGAGGTGGGTCCTCGATGTCCCCCCTTCGCAGCTCCCGGGTCCTGAGGCCTGTAGGGTTGGGCTGGGTCTCGGGTCTGGGCAGCGGTGCTAGAGCCTGTGCTCTAGAAGTGACGGGAACCTGGGGAGCTCAGGGAGGGGCCGCCACAGACTGAGATTTCAGCTGTTGGTTTGTTCGACGGTGATTCAGCGCCTGCTGCAGGCCGGTGGGCGCCACTGCGGGTTCTGGGCCAGTGCTGGGTCAGCCATGGGGCCCCCAGGCAGGTGCTCTGGTGGACAAGCTGGGAAACAGGGTGGCCAGGGATGGGGATGGGGCAAGTGGGGTGTGAGGACAGTACAGGGCGTGGGGCAGGAGGAGGTGCTGGAGCCAGGCCCCGCTGCTGTCCCCACAGGGCTCCTCCCCTCGAGGCCGTGCAGCCCTGGAGCACGGCCGTGGCCCTAGGCACTGCTGCCAGGGGCGCTGCAGAGCTGTTGGGGTCGAGCCTTGGGCTCCTCAGCTGACCTAGGGTGGGCAGCCCCTGAATCCCCCCTCTCAGCACCCTCAGGGGCCCTCCCTGCACCCCACTGCCCTGCCCCTTTGCCCTGTCTCTCCTGTCCCCTGCGAGGGCACTGCCTCGCCTCCCATGCTGTCCCCAGGGCTCCACCAGCTGCTCCAGCTCCCTGCACCAGGTCCTACTGTGCCTCCTCCCCCTCGGCCACCTGACCTGGACGCTGTCTTGGGTGCTGCTTCTTCCCCTGCCTCCCCTCTGACCTCTCTCCCTCCCAGACCCCCACCCAGTGAGGCCCCAGCCCCAGCCGCCTTCCCCACTGTAAAACCACTGCCCACTGGACACTGGAGCGCGGCCCCCAGCTCAGCATGCCCAAGCGGCCCCCACGTGCGCTCCTTCCCTCCTGCATCTGGGGGACCCCCATGCACCCAGCTCTGCACCAGACACCAGTCCCAGTCACCTGTTCCTCCCTGCCCCCCAGCTGTGGATTTTTCCTGCCAGCGGGTCCAGGGGGGCCTCCCCTGTGCCCAGGTCTCACCCAGACCCTGGCAGACGCCTCGGGGCCTCCTCCTAGCCCCAGGCCTGGTCCTGGCACCTGGGGACACCCATCCTGCCCTTTGTATATTACTGGCCACCCTCGTCCCTCCGCCCCTCAGCCTTTGGCTTCGGTGCCACTGCAGAGTGGACTTCTCTGCTCTCCCTGGCCGAGGAGGGCCCCTCACCCGCTGTCATCCCTCGCGATCTCATGGTCTTTAACCACATGTACGTGTGTGCCACCTTACCAGGGCGTCCTCTGTCTGTCCTCCCTGGCCAGGAGCTCCAGGGCAGAAGGCACCAGCCTCACTCTTGCGCCCCAGTCTCCCCAGGGGCAGGCGCGGGCTCGGCATGAGCGGGCCAGTGTGCTGCGTGGCGCCCACCAGAGGCTGGCCTTGCGCCTCTCCCACCCGCTGCTGGGCCGCACACGCTCTTCTCTTTCCTGTAAGGCTCCCCTAATGTCACTTTTTCTGTTCGTTTTCGATAGATTTTATTTTTAGAGCACTTGCAGGCTCACAGCAAAAGTGAGGGGAACGTAGAGTTTCCCACACACTCTTGCCCCCCCCATGCACATGGCCTCCCCACCGCCGACGTCCCCCGCTCCGACACACCGTCACCTGGAGTGCACAGTGCACGCGAGGGCTCACTCTGTTGGGCACCTGTGGGTTTGGGCACACGAGCGTGTAATGGCACGTGTCTGCCATCACAGTGTCACGCAAAAGGTTTTCTTGCCCTAGAAACCCTGCGTGCCCCGCCGGTTCCTCCCCTCCCCCAACCCGCAGCCACTGGTCCCTGCACCGTCTCCAGAGTTCTCCCTCTTCCAGAACAGCACGTAGTTGGGACCCTACAGCGCTCGCCTTTCAGACTGGCTTCTTCCACTTAGCAGCTTGCATTAGGGTTCCTCTGTGTCTTCCCCCGGCTTGAGAGCTCATCTCTTTTTAGCGCTGAAAGATACTTCGTCTGGATACTCCGCAGCGTATGCATCCGTCGCCCACTGAGGGACGTCCTGGTTGCTTCCAGGTTTGGGCAGTGATAAATAAAGCTGCTGTAACCTCTCTGTGTAGGTTTTTGTGTGGATGTAAGTTTTCACTCCTTTGGGTAAATACTAGGGAGCAAGATCGTTGCATCCCATGTACAAGCATGTTTACTTGTAAGAAGCTGCTAAACTCCCTTGCAGAGTAGCCACCCCGTGCCGCGTCCCACCAGCGGGGAGGGTTCTTGCTGCCCCACGTCCTCGCCAGCGTCTGGTGCCATCTATGAGTGTGCGCGCTGTCTCGTTTCACGGGCAGCTCCCTGGGGTGTGACGGTGAGCATCTGCTCGTGTGCTCATCTGCCATCTGCTTAGCCTCGTCCGTGAGGTTCTGTTCACCTTTTTTGTCCATTTTAAAAATCTGTTCTCAGACCAGGCGTGGTGGCTCACGCCTATAATCCCAGCACTCTGGGGGGCCGAGGCGGGAGGATCACTTGAGCTCAGGAGTTCGAGACCAGCCTGAGCAAGAGCGAGACCCCTTCTCTACTAAAAATAGAAAGAAATTAGCTGGACAACTAAAAATATATAGAAAAAAAAAATTAGCCAGACATGGTGGTACATACC